GTTAAATGTAAACATTAGGGATCTCAGCGCGGGACGAAACAAAGGGCCCACTTAAACATCTTATGCGTTCGCTTGCGTGAGAGTTAGTTTCATCTAGCTTCGCCGATCATCCTGGCATTTCAATGATCTTCAGATCCTATATTTTGGACTGTGAGGAGCAGCTTCCGTCGTATCAAAGCTTTAATACTTCGTACATTTACATACGTAAATCATCTACAGCTAAAATTTGATTTGACAAATACATTGTACTCTGTGGCCCCTTTTGTCTCAGCACGGACGTGTTGTAGAATTTACGGGTATTCACGGTCGCTTACCTGTGCCGATCCTTGTAGCAGAGCTGCCCCATTCAGATCAAGGAGATTGAAACCTGACCTTGTTCAGATTGACTCTTTGCACTTCATCTGGGTATTGTAAATTTGTTATCTGTACTTGTTGTAACGCTAACATCGTGCTTCGGGCAACGCTCCGATCCTATGCGAATCACAGAATCAGATTAATGCTCCGCCAGCTTGACTATGCGGCCGCGGGGAGGGTAGCGACCGCAGCTCTGACCAGGGACTAGAGCCAACCGCCCATGTGTCTTGTCACGCACAGGCGTCCGTTCAGTTCAAGTCGTCAGGTTACCATGGCGACCGCCATTCCTGGCGCCATCCGCCCGCTCGGACTATAGTTCCGGCCCCCAATTCGCGCGACGCCCGGACTAGTCCGGACTAGTTCCGGCCCCCAAATCCCGCGACGCCCGGACTAGTCCGCACTAGTCCAAAACCCCGATATGCGCCGCTCTCCGAATCACAATTGCCGCCGCGCTCGGACCAGATCGGGACTAGTTAAGGTAGTCCGGACCAGTTCAGGCAGGTCCGAGCACTCCTTCGCCGGGGAACTAATGAGGTTCGGACCAATTCGGACTAGTTAACGTTCACTAGTCCCGAACCCGTCCGGACTAGTTCAACACTAGCAAATGTTTACAGAGGTAGGGTTTCTTTTATGTTAGAGTAAGAATCTGCTATGGAAAAAGGGGGATAACTCTTGGAAAAAGAAATATCACAACTTTTTGAATTATCACGTTTTCCAGTGAAAATAAATTTACGTACTAAAAAATAATGAATGAGATAAAAAGCTAAGTCTGTGCGATTTGCAGTGAATCTGTCACTTGCTGTAGTTTTTCAATCTGTTGCTGTTGTGTTTCAACGAGGGATTGAAGAGAATGACACTGAGCAGTGAGAGTCGCGATCTCTTCATTATGGCGGCTGTTCACACTCTTACTTTCATTTGCATGACGTGTCTTTTCTTCCTCTAGTTGTTTTCTCCACTCGCCGCGTCGACCACCCCCGGCACCCCCAGCCCAGACGTGGAGGCTATGCTGGAGGAGCTGCAGTCCGTAGGTTCCGAAGGTGCATCATCAATGACGTGATGCCAAAGTTGGTGAGTAAATAATTATAGCATTTAGGCGACAGCAATAAATCTGTATGGATGACATCAGCGCACGCAGTAATTTTTGCCTGATTTTGAAAAAATGATTTATTTTCAGTCATGCTAGATAATTTTATTTGAAGATCTTATGTGTTTGACCAGGGATTCAGCCATTTTTACTATACGTCTTTTACCACTTCTTACGTGATCACACACTTTTTACAATAATACACTACTTTTCTGAATCTGCAAAATATAAAACTTCACAAAGAATTGTCGTCTACATGACTACTTGTTTTTCTTTTGTTATCAGCCAGATATTTTGTATGATTCCCACAAGTTGCACCCTTTCCAGTATTTTTTAAGTTTCTCCCAATCTTTTATCTCCCCTTTTGGTTAACTACATGCAGGACCTTTACCCAAGGTCCCAGAGTTACCCAGCCAATGTCTGAAAGCTGTCAAACTTGAGTTTGGCGTTAGGAAGGGCATCCAGCCAGTAAAAACTTTGCCTCAAACCCAAGGCTTGCACAGGATACTGAGGAGCCCAAATGCATGCCAGAAGCCCAAGAACTGTAACAGGGAGTAACAGCGATACACTGCAACAGCCATACCCATAGACGATTGTTGCCATTATCTAGAACTTCTGATTATGCTATGCGATAGATGGCATTGTGTATGCTTGGACATATGTTTGTGGTTTAGCACGTAATTCATAGGACAAACATGCTATGTTGTTACCTGAACAAAACCCTTTTTGACTTCATGTACTTTTGATTTGACTTGACTTCTGATTTGATTAATGTTTGTGACTTCTGCACTTCTGTTTATGATTTCTGTTGTCTTATAAGCCCATATGGGCTGGGCGACAAAGAAAAGTTGCAAGAAACACAATTCATTCAATCATTCATTCATTTATATGCAAGTGCACCTTAGTGCAACCAAACTTTGAGCTGTGCACCCAATTTTTTTCTATGGTTGCACCAGTGTACAAATCCGACAAATCCGCAGATTTACGTAAATATGTAAAGCTGTTCAATGTATTTAATAGTATACATCATATTCTTTTCACCTAAAGTGTCAGAAATTTGAAAATCATTGATCTAACACTTGTTTTTTTTAGAAAGGAAACCATTATTTTTTGTGGACAAAATTGATAAAAGGGGCACCTAAAATATTTTTTGTGCAGCCAATTTTTGTGGTTGGGTGCACCAGTGCATTAATTAATACCCAAAATGAATGTCAAGCCCTGTTTAGTCATTTCATGATGATGACATTTTTTTCCATCCCCCTCAGCCTGCCGACCTGCAGACCCTGGTCAGGGATCATTTGCCCCCAGGTGTAGACTGGGAAGAGGAGACGACGTCACCGTCACCGGGCCAAAGGACTGTCCCAACACCTCCTGCTGTGTCGCGGTTGGCCCCCCTTCTGCAACCGACCAGCAACAGCCCGCTGCGCGGCAACAACACCTGCCCGCAGCGGAGCTAGATCAGCCCGCAGCAGCGCACCAACACCGGCGTGCTGCGGTGCTTGATGACCCGCCCGCTGCAGCGCTCGACCACCAGCCTGTAGCGGTGCGTGGGCCCGGTGACCAGACACCACCCAAAGATGACAGCTGGGAAGACATCACATGTCAGGTACTCCCATTGTCGTCCAGATTATGTGACATCATTGAAACAGTACCACCAAGAAATTCCCCGGAGTACAAACATTTTTGATGTACTGAGCACATCAGAGGTAATAATTTTATGCTTCTCTCTTTCAGTTTGATTATTGTTGTCATGAGGCTTCAGGAGTACTCTAAGAAATAACCAACAAACATCCCAGCATAAACATTCAGTGTGACACAAATATTTCATGTTCAAACCCTGCTGTGGAAACATATGATCATACATTACACGTATATTGTATACTAGGACATGTTATCTCATTTTTTTCCATATAGAGAAATGAGATAAGGACATGTTATCTCATTTTTTTTCCATATAGAGTTAGGATTTCTTTTATGTTGTATATAGAGTTCTGCTATGGAAAAAAGGGGATAACTCTTGGAGAAAGAAATATCACGACTTTTTGAACCATCATTATGCACCCAATTTTTTCTATGGTTGCACCAGTGTATAAATCCGTAGATTTACGTAAATATGTAAAGCTGTTCAATGTATTTAATATTCTTCATCATATTCTTTTCATATAAAGTGTCAGAAATTTAAAAATCATTGTTCTAATACTTTTTTTAGAAAGGAAACCATTATTTTTTGTTGACAAAATTGATAAATGGGGCACCTAAAATATTTTTTTGTGCACCCAATTTTTGTGGTTGGGTGCACCAGTGCATTAATTAATACCCAAAATGAATGTCAAGCCCTGTTTAGTCATTTCATGACGATGACATTTTTTTTCCATCCCCCTCAGCCTGCCGACCTGCAGACCCTTGTCAGGGAACATCTGCCCCCAGGACTGAAAGAAGAAGGGATGGAGTTGGAAGAGGAGACGATGTCACCGGGCCAAAGGACAGTACCAACACCTCCTGCTGTGTCGGTTGCCCCCCCCCCTTCTGCAACATCTCCAGCCGACCAGCCTATCTAATTACCACTACGGGGGTTGAGCCCGAGGGAATATTCTTACATGTCTCTGTTTGCCATGTTTGCCAGAGCATGGAGGTAAAAAAGGCCACAGGGACCATCGGTATCCGGGAGGTTTGGTAACCAGGCTAACATGTCTTACTGGCCCTATTCTCGCTTGAAAAACGACCAAAATGGTGATCAGATTTGCACTTGGTTAGCTCATGTAGAATGTCCTTGGTTGGTGAAAACCCGGAGTGTCTGATTTTAACGTTAACGTTATTAACGTTATGCATATTTAAAAAAAAAATAGGAGGAACTATTCCCGACATCAGAGACATAACAATTTACGTTTTTTGAGGGCACATTCTTACCATCTGTCACCATTTACTGATTTAGAAACTGTTCTGATATATCCAAAATATTATTCCTGCTTTAACGTTATATGTAACTTTATTGCACAGTAATTGTACATGGTACAAAGTATGACAGAGCTAAACTATGGGCTAAACTAACTAATACAGGAGTGTGTGGCTAATATAGAATGGGAATGAGCTTTTACAATATTATAGGGATTTCTAATGTCCATACATTGTTTGATATACATTCCTATATGATAGTATATCTATCAAACATGAGTTATCACAGGTCATTATTATCTTATTTCTACTTAAATCTATAGATGTAAATTCTGTTAGAGATGATGACAGTTTAGTGTATAGTGAAGTACATACATCAACATAATCATGCTCTCCAATTAAGGTAGTATTGTAATACAATTAACTAATGGCGCATTAGCATTTCTTTATCATTTTTTTTTAAATATCAAGTTTCTTTAAAACGGAAGAAACCTTTGCAAAAGATTCCTGGACGCTACTGGTGTTTGATACAATAATCTTTATATTTTTTTAAGAACGGTAGAGGCTAGCTATAGTCCCTCAAAATGCATTTAGCACCTCCATGAGACATAATTAACTGTAATCTGCACTTGTCTCAAGACAAAAGGTCTTTTGTTCTACTTGAACAAACATTCTTGTAAAAACATCTGAAGAGAGGTGTATTTGGCTAGTCTGGCATATACATTGTTTAGTCTAATCATGCACATTCACATTCCACATGTCTTACATGCATGATCATGATGATGGCTTTGGAATTTACAGTCAGTTGTCAGATGTAACAGTTCTTTTTGTATTGATGAAAGTTTTTTTTTGTCAATCAAAGGGTGGCAGATGCAGCAACAATGCACAACACCCTCCCATCTGTTGAGATACAGCGAGAGCGCCTCCTTCTCAAAACCTACAAGACCTGTCTACGAACACCAATGGAGAACCCCGGACCGGGAAAGGTGGACCAGACATCCGTCGACATTTTACAGAACTTTCACCCCGCAATGCTATGGGACTACCGCCCTGTTGAGGTGCTCGGTGACGGGAACTGCCTGTACCGAGCACTCTCGCAGGCCATGTATGGCACACAACACCACCATCTCATCCGTCTACTGACAGCCCTGGAAATTGCTGAGTTCCCCGCCCACTATAACATTGAACACCCAAACCATGTGGACCACATCAAAGACTCTCGCCTTGTTCTCGCTAAGTACAATGACCTGCTGCTTGAAGCAGCAACATCTGGAAGCTACTCCTGCATGCAGCACATATTTGCTGCAAGCAGTGCTGTGGGGTTGTGCTTCGAAAGCTACTGCCCTCCGATGGTACCATCAGAGTATCTGTCGCTGCCATACACAGGCGAGTGGTTGGACGAGGGATCAGAACATCAAAGGGAGTGGCCTTCACAGTGATGTGGACATCAACAAGACTGCCTGAGAGCACAAGAGATTTCAGCCCAAACCACTTTGTCCCGCTGAAGAAGATGCGCCGTTCTCAGTGCAGTGAAGAGGTGATAACTGTGACAGTATACTGGAGACATTTGCTATTTCGGTGTAGCTAGCGAGGATTACACACATTTTATCACGTTACCGGGATGTACATTAGAGAAACGTTATCAAGACGCGCTTGAAGAAGTAAGAACAGAAATACTGGCCCACAACAGGGCTGTTCCCATTAGGTTGGAGTTTGAGCTTACGCGACTCTGTGACTAAGTAAACCGGGATGACTTTATGGAATACCGAATGTCGCCTCCAAACTTTGTTTCCTTTTGTTTTGAGAAATGTTTTCTTTATGGTTAGGAAAAATGAACATTGAAAATATTGTTCTAATCTTGTTGTCAATTCCTTTAGGGTGAACCAAGGTGCTTGACTTTCAAGTACTCCACAGATGGGGGGGGGGGGGCATTTTCTCATCTGAAGATACCGCATTCAACATGGCCAGAGTCACTAAAGATCTCCAACCTGCCACCGGACATCCGGGACAAGACTGAATACGTCTTAATGCCAGGCGTCATCCCAGGTAATTTTTATAATGTAATATTATCAAGGAATTATTATACACACAAACACGTTTCTATATGACGTTGGTGTTTCTCTGTCGGATGCCTAAGAGAGGCTGAGTCTGAGGATATGGTACAGAACTCCAGCAAGACCTTGATGTGGGAGGGCCTGTGCCATCTGGCACGTAGAGACTGCGTCAGGGAGGGAGATGGCCCTGCCAGTATTGGTACCTGGCAGCTGGATGTTGTCCAGTTTTGGAAGAACAAACACCACAAATATTTCATCATGGCCCACCATAGTGCTTACAGGTGTGCACATGTCTGTCGCTTTCAGTCACAATGGTCGATAAGACAAATTCATCTGTATTTAGTAGTAATGGGTATATTAAATTTTATACATTCAGTCTGTCATTTGTTTTTGCATTCCAGGGACTTGCAGAATGATATGAAAACAGGTCTTCCAATAATAGTGTTATAAGACTTCTGCCCACCTGTGTCAGGGATACCTGCAGTAGTTAATATAAACTCTAAGACTGGATACTGTATATTGTGTATACAGACAGCATCATCAAGTATTTTTCAGGAATCGGGGGCTTCCTGCCTGCCAGGCTGAGGCACGACCTCACCTGGAATCGCACCGGCAACATCAAGGGAGGTCCTGGCAAGAATGTCGGGTTGGACCTGATCAATGAGTTCTGGAACAACGAGTTCAAAGGTTGGTTATAACTTATATAGATGGACAAAATATTACATTTTTACACAATTGTCATTTGCTATCAGTGTCATGTATATATATACTTAAAAGTTCGCCAAGGATACAATGTCTACTTCAATGATACAGAATATTGAGATTAAAGCTTTTTGAACAAACTTTTCCTGAACATGTGAAGACAGGCATCGCCTGTCCTGCAAGAATGAGGGTACAAGTAGACATTGAGTCAGGAGAAGTAACAGTTTCATATACAAGTAGCCACAGCCACGAACCATTCATCCAGGACACTGAGCACCATCCTGTCCCCACAGCAGTCACAGGCAATATACAAGGCAAACTAGCATTGGGCATCCCAGTGTCTCGAATTCGTTGTGGCCTACGTGACATAATCGAAACAAGGATATAGGGCCCGAACAGCTAAGATTACACCACTTTTTGCACAAAACGATTTTAAAAGAAATGCAAAGGAAAATGAATGCAAATGCCAGTCTTCATGTAAAAGACTTTATATCTACATGACTAAACAAATCATGACTTTTACATACTAGACTAAAAGTCTTTATATCTATTAGTAAGAAAACGACAGGAAGAAGATTATGATCCGGTATTAGTGTATAAGCCACAAGGTCACAGTGTTATAGCTGGAGTTCCTGCAATAGATGACTTGCCATATGAAGACCTCTTTATGCTTGGACTACAAACAAGGGAACAGAGAAACATCATGCATGACAAGGAGATTGTATGTATTGATACTACACATCGCACAAACATATATGGCTTTTATCTTCTCAACATTATTGTGCCGGATGAATCTAGAAAGGGATATGCAGCTGGCCATTTCATTTCAAATTATGTAAATGAGAAGACTCTGTACTACTTCTTTAAAGCAATTAATGAGAAAGCGCCAAATCTTACCATTAGTTCAATAATGTCAGATGACGACATGAGTGGGGCAAATGCCATGAAAGTTGTGTTTAACAAGGACGCTATAGGCACTTGTTGTGCACATGGCATCTTCATAGGGCCTGGCAGAAACGACTTAGGCAGGATCTACCAATAGACCTTTAACTGAGGGAAGATATCTATATATTCTACGCACGTTGCAAGAAAAGAACAGCAACAACTTTGAAGAAATGGCAACATCATTTTATCAACACGTACAGCTCAAAGTACCTCAGGCCCTTCTTCAGGACAACGAAAGAGATGACACCGTCTCATCGGCTGGACCTCTTGACAGATGCCATACTACACTATGCAAGACGAAAGTCAACTGACATAGGTGATTTTTTTTACATCCTTAACTTTCCTACACTGTGCTTTGGTTGTGGGTAACATTAGATTAACAAAATCATGCCAAATTGTGTATTGTTCAGCAGCAAACTGTCATTTTTACTGATTAATGTATATTTCAGAATTTATGATTAATGTGTATTTCAGAATTGCGCATGTTGTCACTAATCAGGCAGGTAAAATCGGTTGAACTGTACCCAAATGTTAGTGTTTTCGGTTTCCCATTCCCATCGTGGTTGCGTCTTCCGTGATGAAGAGGTATGCATGCAATTTAGTTGCTGATGATTTAAGGGCAGTTAACTCCAATACAGATTACATTGCATGTTGATGTAGGTTAGACATCCAGGTAACGAGATACTGACACTGTCAGTGGATGCTAGTTAGTTATTCATTTTTTAAGCATCAAGACCAGTTCAGAAGTCTAGCTTGTACATCAGCACATTTGTGGATTGTAAGAGCATCCGGCATATCCTTTTCCAGTATTCGGGCATGGCTCCTGTACTATTCCTTACCCATCATGATCAACATCCTGCCAACAGACTATTATGAGCATTACTCTTTGCTCGTAATGACCCTCCACACCCTTCTACAGTCATCAATCACCTCAGAAGATCTGGACAGAGCAGAAGCACAACTTCTCCAGTTTGTGGGTGCATTTCTGAACTTATGATTAAGTAGAATCTTCCCATTGGTAATATACGTGGCTGTACGTGTGGTTCCAAACTGCTATTCCTGTCCCCCAGCTATGCTGTCAACCATGGCAGTTATCAACACATATTTGGTGTGCTGTTCTATAGTCAAGGAGCTTTCATCTTTCTAATTCATTCTTCTTTCCAAAAGAATGTATAAATAACAAGATTCTTGTTCTTTATACAAAGTATATGTGCAGGCCCGACGTAAGGCATTTCAAGTTGTATTGATTAAGTAATAATAGTATAAATGTGTAAATATTCTCTTTGTAATGCCATACTATAATTCAGCTAAAAAGCTGACACTGTATGGTTGTTTTGAGTCGCCACAATAAGCCATTGATTGGTTGATAGTAATACCAGTTCATTGTCACTAACTCAACAATCATCTGTACACATCTTTATCGTTTTGAAAATGACTGATGAAATCGTCAGACTCGGTTTACTGTTTATGACTGACATCGACTCAGCTGAAGGCTTGAAGGAAGCGGTGATATTGGTCGTGGATGACATCCGTGCTCGTGTGAATAAGGTACCGTCAGCTGCAGACATCCATGTTTACAGCGGGGACTGCGATGGATCTCCAGAAGGGGCGCTGCAAGCTTTCCGCGATCTGGATGTACCTCTCACTACATTTATTCATTTCTATTGTAATAGTTTCTTTTATAGTTTTGCCGATTGCGAAACCTGCAACGACTCTTGAAAGAAGCAGATAAAGAAGGTCTAGGTTGGTAGTGATGAAGAATCGAGTGTTAGATATTTAGATAAAATAAAGGTTTCCACTGATCTAAGCAAATGGGGAGACACTCCCAGAATTAAGGAAAGGTTCAGAACATGGTGGGAAAACTCCTTGCACAATAAAACAACACGAAACAAACCAATTGCCTTTATCGCAGCTAGGTAAATTTCTCCCTCGAACTATGCCAGAGAAAAGTAACTCCCCTGCTAGTCATGGCTGACCGTAGCACGACTTTTATTGTTTCCTTCACCGTTACCTAAACCGTTGCTTCAGGATTGTGACAGGGAAGATAAGGAGTGGGGAACTTGACATGACCATTCTTCATAGCTGTGCGTCACACATAAAGAAGAACGCCAAAAGCAACGTGAGGAAACAGTGGGTATTGTTTTCTTTTCATACAGCTTTTGCGTAGGATTATTACCTATCACAAATGACTGTAACATCCAGCTAACTCGACTAAACTGAACCAGCCCCCCACTGAGCCAGAGGCACAGTCCCCGAAGTCTGGGTTTCCAAGAGGCTGGACAGCTGTAATAAACCTAACCCTAACGAACATGAGTTAGCTGGATGTACGTACTGTAACAGGCCAATCGATAAGATAAGTAATGAATCAGTAGCTGCTGTCACCATTGTTCACATACGACTCGATCATCTGTTGCAAACTGTGCTTTGTTGCAAATTGCTGGTTTTAATAACGACCACAATAGATCTTTCTGCACGGCTGTTGGTGTTCATGTTGGGTTGGTCCTCACAATCCAGGATACTTGATGTTCATCTCAGGAGTTGCTGTAGAAGAAGCTGTAGAAAAACATGAAGATAAAGAACAAAGATTAGAACACAGTACTACTTGAATATTGGTGCCGACCAGAAACACGGCAGAAATTGGTCAGTTAGGTTCTCAATGGGTTAACGGTAGGAGCGAATAAATGTTTGGTGGAGACAGGAGCAGTTCAGCCATGTCACTTTTTAACAATACATTCTGCACTGCAACAATATCTTATTCTTGGCTTAAATATACATAAGACGACGTTAACAACAAGGATAAGAATAGGATCTCTGATAACAT